CTAATAAAATGTACCAGAAGAAAATTGCTCTGCTGGATTTTGTTTGCTCTGAACGATATCTGTGGGAATCACTGAACATCAAAGACCTTTGTTATGTTGGGCTTCATTCATTTTGTCTCTGTGCTCCACCAGGTCCGTTTGCCAGTTCAGAACCCGACCAGAACCCCTCAGTGTAAATTACCTTGAGAAATAATGAGATTTGGTTATAAAGAGACTTTAATGTCGAAAAATGATCAAGTGTTACAAGCCATACATGTCATCCAAACAGATCAGAACCAGGCGAGGCAAAGACTAGAGTTTAGCTTTTTATTCTTCTCTGCTGTCTGTTCCCTCCCCAAAAGGAAGTCTGATCACTTTCAGTCTGTTTACATATGACTGCCGACGGTCACACATAAACATGGTCATGTAAGCTGCAGTGTGTGTGTAAGCAGATACAAGAGGCTAAAAGAGACGGAGGAAAAGACAGAATCCATAACATTATTTAGCATTTAGTTTCTGGTGCTTTTCAGACGTGCTCCACCAAGACGTTGCCACTACGAACCTCTTCCTGTCAGAGTCAGAAGTAACCTCATCCAGTTTGTTCCGCAGGAAAGTAAGTCCACCTTCAACACTAACAGAACCAAGCTTTTTAATTCTCCCTTTTTAATATGTTTTTTTTTTGGCATGTACTATATTGTTCATCAGCTTTGATCGGGGTTGAATTGCCAGCCGAAAACACGTCTGAAGCCGAACCCACAAGGACCTACGAGTTGCTTCTGGACCACCTGGATCGTCTCAGTGAAAGAGAACAAGACCGGACCACCCCTGCTCCCATCAGAACCACCAGATCACCCCAAAGTCCAAAGAGGAAAGGCCGCGGTCGGAAGGGGAAAGGCAGGTCCAGAAGCTTGTCTGAGCTTCACAACGGAGTGGTGAGACTGGTCAGGGATGAATTCTTGCATGGAGACCGTGGACGGGTGGAGATCTATGTTCACGGGGAGTGGGGTACCGTGTGTGATGACTTGTGGTCAATAAAGAATGCCGAGGTGGTCTGCAGACAGCTGGGATTCAAGTACGCCCTAAAAGCAGCCAGGAATGCTGAATTTGGAGAAGGAAAAGGACTGCGGATCCTCTTGGATGATGTTCATTGCAATGGCACAGAGTTCAACCTGTTGAACTGCATACATGCTGGAGTGGGGAACCATAACTGCGCCCACTATGAAGACGCTGGAGTGATCTGTGGAAACTCAAAACCCTCTGAAGAAGCCTAGAAGCTGGCAGCAGAAAGACAAATGCTTCAAACTAACCAAACTAAGTGCTAAAATCAAGTCACGATAAAATGCTTTGAATTGTCAAATTGCAGCTTGTTCAGCAGAATAAATTCATATCAAGTCATCTTGAGGTTTTAGATAGAATAAAATATATGGATTCAGTTCTTTTTTTTTTCTTTTACTTTATTGAACGTGTCAAGTTACAATAAAATTACGACAATGCAATAACAATAAACATTTAAGGAGTGGGTAGAAGTATAAACTTATTAACCTCCAGCAACATCATAAAATGATCTCATCTTGTTTATATGCATTTTATAAGTTCACCTTCATTTTACTTCCTGATTAATGCAGTACACTCACTGATATATTAATCATAGCTCTAATAGTATTAACAGAATATTAATGTTGATGCCAAAAATGATGTAACGACATCATAATACATCAAGACAGTTTCTCATATTTAGTGTAAACTATTTTCTTATACAAAAGTTTGAATTGTTTAATGTTTGGACATCGTTTTAATTCCAGTCAAACCGTTTCATAGTTTCACACCACAGACTGAAATGCTAAAACGTCTTCTTGTGGTTCTGATCTTACAAAGTTTGAATTTGTATTTTCCTCTGAGGTTATCAAATTCTTCTTTTGAGAACAATTTTTGAATATTTTCTGGTAACTGTTGATCATGTGCTTTGAATAAGAAACAAACCGTTTGAATATTCACTAAATCAGTATTTTTTTATACTCTAACATTTTTCATTTTTATAATTAAACATACAACACAAATCTAGGGGCACTGATTCATAGTTTTTTATATATTTTATTGAATTTTCTCTTTTAGGACATACATTTACAAACAATCAACATTATAAACATCTGCTTATACACATTCACTCACCATTCAAACCTGCATTTGTTTAGTGCCAAAAATATGCAAGACCCTTTAAATTAGAGCAGAGAAAAATAGAAACTGTAGACAAGACACTCATTATTAAGCTCAATTCTTGGTTATATTGTTTATTTTTATTGCTACTATGGCTGATAATTTCTCCTAATAAGCTTTAAAAGCTTCCCATCTAATACTAGCCGTGGTTTCATCTTTATTCATTTCAAAATATTTGTCCTTGATCAATCTTATTTACTTTAATTTCCAGGGACACTGCAGCATGAGCACCAATTATAATATTATACCAGCAGTTCTTCACAGGAGGCAGTAAATCCACAGCGATGAGAAAATGATCAATACGTGAATGGGATTGGTGTGAGCTTCAATAACATGAAAATTCCGTTATTTGGGTTCCTTGTTCTCCATACTTCATTTATTCTTAAAGTTAAGAAGCATTTTCCTGGTTTGTGTATGACTGGTATCGATTTGAGTAGATTTATCCAGACTTGGGTTTAGGCTTCTTCTTGATATTGGATGAATGTTGGTCAGATTTAACAACTTTTATGATCCCCAATTTTTTTAAAGCTGTAAAATCCTCTTACATGTTGAATGCTTACCAGACATAATTTGTGTTGTCAGGCATTATTCCAGGTGTTTTGCATTGTCATGTATTTTGCTGTAATTTAAAAAAAAATTCTTTTATGGTCTTTTTTCTAGATTTTGAGATCTGTGTGGTGGAAGATGAAGCACCATCCTCAGTAACAATCCCTCTTGTCCGCCCAACATCATCAGTGTCCCCAGCTTCTTCTTGCTCTTCAGATTCCACAATTATTCTGAAAAGTTCTAAGAACCGTAAGAACGAACTTGGAGAGCTTGGTCATGAGGAAGCAAAACAGGTTAGAAGCAAAGCCAAAAGTTATTTCCAGTGCTTAAATGAATATTACAAGCACGAACATTTTGGGTGTTTGGATTTAATCTCTCTCACAGAAGGTGCACACTGCCCTGGGGTCAAACCCAGAGGGTGAGGAAATCATGAGTGAATACAACAAAACTAAAACACTGTCAGATGCAACTCGTCGACAAATGGTCAACATGCTGGTTGCAGATATGATAGAATCACACAGGTAAGACTTGTTGATGACAGAAAGCAGTATTGAGTGAGCAGCATAGCAATTATTTTTGTTTTTGATAGGAGGATCCCACCCGTAAGTGTTCAAACTAGCTATGCAACCCTTTTTCCATATCTTAAAGATATGGAAAAAGGGTTAGACAAAAGCTGTAGATAATTTTAAAGGTAACAAAACAGTTTACCATGTTGGAGCAACACTTGGAGCCAAAAAACTTTCAACTTTGGGAAAAACTGAAAGATAAATATGAGCAGTAGCCTCACCTGGGCCTGTTTGGTCCCTGTCACATATTCTTAAGAAAAACATTTACAGATGATGAACTTTTACTGAAATGTATCACACTAGCAAGTGTTACAGAAAATATCTATAAGAGTTTAAAATTTTGCGACCGTTTTAGGAAAAGATGAAGTGAATTACAAACTCATAAACACTAACTAGTCGTGCTGCCATAAATAACGCAGTAAAATGGTTAAACTGTTTTCCTTCAGAGGCGTCTACCCGCTCTTACGCAGGGACATTCACACAGCCACATATGCTTTGTGTGCAGGGCCGGGATGACTCCGCTGAACGCTGTGTATCAAGAAGACAATCTGTTTGAAACCAGAGGTAGTTACAACATTCCTAGTCCATTTCAACTTCTCTGGGTATATTACTATATTTCAAATTAAAACAGTAAATGGTACACTTTGAATGTTTTCACCATCTCCACCCAACCAGCATGCACCTCAAAAAGAATCAAGCGCACTCATCCCTTTCACTTCTCAAGATCAGCAGCCAACATTGTTTGGAATATATTTATTTATTCACTGCTAACTTACAAATAAATTATTCCGTTTCTATTGGCTAATTCAAAGAGGTCAGGAGGAGTTTATGGTGAGCAGATGTTAAAGTTCCCCTGAATAAAGTCTTTGGCATCCGGTCACATATTTCATCCTGCACATCTTGAAACTTTGAGAGAAAACTAAGTGACTGTTACAGTTAGCACAAGCATTTATTTAAGCAATAAGTCACTGACATCAAAAGCTACCATCTGCTACGGGTCAGAACCTCAAACATCTGGACCCCACTTCCGGACCACCCGCTGAGCCCCTCCCCCACTGGAAGTCCTGCCCACCTGTTAAATTTGATTGACTAAAGGGTGTACTTCTAGTCTGAGGGCTTAGGAAATGAGGCCAAAAAAAGGGACCAAAAGGGCACTTGGGGGCAAGGAGCAAAAGGGGCAGGTGCCCCCCCTCTGCCGGGCCCTGCACCTCAGTGGCAATACTGTCCAGCTTACCGTTGATCTCATGTCCCAGATGGTCGAAGTTTTGTTGTAGCTTTGCATTATCCCCCTTCAAGACAGTCTTTAAATCGTCAATAGCCTTAAGCATTCCTTGCGAGTCCGTGTTCGTTCCAGTGCTCTCAGCTCCCGCACTAGCAACATTTTCGCTAGCTTGTGTAACAAGTTTAGAAAATGTGCTTTTATTTTTATGTTGAAATTTCACCAAATCCCGATTAACACTGAAGAATCCTATTTTTTTGTTATATTTTAAGGATTGTATTTTATACAATAAAATGTATAAATAAAATAGTAAGTCATAAAGAATCTCTGATTCAATCTTATCAAGAACTCCACGAGACATAATCAAGTCATCAGGGCACAAGAATCATAATTCCCACTAAGTAATAAATGTCATTGCTGAAAATTGTTAATATATGAAGCATTTTATATTGGATCTAATATACACAGGTAGTGTACACTACCTGTACTGTTGCGTTGAGAGTGTTCTATGACATCATTACTGGACTACTAGGCTGCCTGAGGAGAGGTAGGAAAGTTTCTTTGCTCTTGGTTAAGTTCATGTTTTTTTTATATATATTTATAAAATAATTGAAAGCACATGCAGCTGTGAATGTTTGTTTTAACATACATTTCTTTTGACAAGAAAATTTTGTTGTAAATATTAGAGCTGATATTAGTTAGTCACAGGGTTTCTCCATGTGCTTATGTAACCCAAGTTACATTCTAGGATTCTTAGGATTTGAAATAATCCAAATTAAGTCAATCCAAGTGATTTCTTAAAAACTAGGTTCATCTGCTGGAGGAGGTGGCATATTGTAAAAACACAGAGACAAGTAGATGGTGCAAAATCAGTGAGTTGTATTGATATTTACAATATATACAAATTGGTCCACAATTTAGAGTTCAAAATGGGTTCCTTAAACCAAGGAACTCAACCAGTCTTTGTTGATGAAAGGGGAAAAAAAACAAAAAATAATCCAGTTCCTTCAGTGAAGACTTGTTGGGCTGAATCTCCAACCAGTTCGGAAGAGTTTCCTCAGAAAATAGGCGTTGTATTTCCGGATCCGCTAGACGGTTAGCTCGCCAGTCTGGTCAGCATGAAGCCACACAATCCTTGTTATATCCTAGACCCTTCAGCCACTCCTTGAGCGGGGGATCTGCAATATACCTGGCCTGTGTAAACAGGCCTAAATAATCAAACATGTACATGTATTTTCTAATTACAGAAGTTTACATAATAACTAAATGCAACTTATGCAAAACAGTATTCTTACACAACAATAGTTTCGGTATGCATTTCAATCTGAATGCGTTTTAGATCGGCGTCAGCTATTTAACAGCTGGGGAGGCTAGTGCTAGCATGCTAGCTCCCGAACAAACACTCACCAGTTCCCTCTGGACAAACCGTGATCGTTTCAACGTTTAGCCGAATGTTCACGTCTGTAAGTTAACAGAGGCACACAATTGATAGATGTACAATCCACATTTCAAAACCGCTTTGGGAACAGAACAGAAGCCTACCTGCACGTCAGGGTCCGACAGCGTCTCCTACCTAAGATGCGATTCAGCAGCAATATAAGCCGTAGCTGTCAATTTAGGACGCTGACGTGCAGCTGTCACATGACATTGAAACATCGCGAGACCAATAATGTTCTCGCCTGCTTGGTGTTGAATAAATTAAGGAGGATTTTAATTAAATCTTTAAATAAAATTAGATCTAACAAAATGGAAAATAAAATAAACTGAATCTAATATA